CTGGAAAAATATATATAATTATATTTATATAAGACATATACAACAAAAACAATCCATCTGTATTTTTCATGTATTTTGCTTTAGCATTGAAATCTGTATGTCAAGATCACTGTGCATCTTAAATTGAAGGCAGTCTGGATGAACTCTAAGACGTCTTTCACATTGAGTTATTATCATAATAATAATAATAATGTAATTTGCTCTGGGTTATGTGTTTGTAGCTCTGGTTTGAGTTGATAAACGCACCGTGCAGGAGCTCGTATGCAGTGATGCTGAGAGTCCACCAGTCCACAGCGAACGAATATCCCACACCTCTGTCCACGAACGAGACAAACACCTCTGGTGCTGTTACACACACACACACACCAGATTCATTTCCCATGACTCATTCATATGTCTGTGTGTTTGTTTCCTCATAACTCAGCTGTAATGAAGTGATGGTCAGATATGATATCCAGCGGGTCCTCACACAGCATCAGCTGTTTCTGCTAGATTCGTGAAAATGCTGCTTGTTTTTTTATTGCATTTTTATTAACACAAACTGTGTATATATTTATGTATATTCATTCATTTTGTAATTGCAGACATTTCCAGAACTGCACTTTACAGTAATGTCCCATATGCATTAACTATCAATAAGCAATACATTAGTTACCATATTTATTAATCTTTGTTAATGTTAGTTAATAAAAATACATCTGTTTATAGTTCACATTAGCTCAGGTTCATTAAATAATAACGCATGCAACTCTTGATTTTAATAATGTATTAGTTAATGTTGAAATTAACCAACTAAAAATAATAATGCTTCAGAAGTATTGTTCATTGTTAGTTCATCTTAACTAATGCAGTGAACTAATGTTAACAAACAGGATCGGTAAAATTCAAGAACTGTTTGTAATATAAAATCAGCAGTTAACAGTAGGGGAATACAAAAATATGATTTCAGTAAACTTATTAATCTTTTTAATTCAGATAGATTGAGAGTTGGGTTATTTTAATGGGCCAGTTCACCAAGAAACGTATCATCATTTACTCTCCGTCAAGTCGCTCCAAACCTGCATGAGTTTCTTTCTTCTGTTGAACACAAAAGAAGATATTTTGAAGAATGTCACTAGTAGCCATTAAATCATAGCCATACTGGTTTGGTTTCATATTTAAAACTATCAGTGCATTTCCCCCAACATTTCTTATTTGTATGTTTAAAAAATATTTAAAACTATAATCTTATAAAATTCTTCATGCATTCTAAATGTTGCCGTGTAAATGCATTTATGGCAGCTCAGCTTCATCACACAGTCTGGAAACACATCTAATGCCACTTCAGATGCAGCTTCTGTGGAAAGATGGAGTTTAATACTGATTTCATTTGAATGGTAACAACTCTACAGTTTCTTATTATTCTAACTGAATTAATTGAAACACATCTTGATGTGAAAGATGACAGATAATAAGGTCAGTGAAAAAAATGACAATTTAAGAAACAGTGGGAAATGACATCTGTTCTGTTACATACAACTACTTTTCAGTTAATTGTTATTTCTACCTCTTTTCTAGTCACAGAGCGCTTTATTTTGAGAGTTGTTTAAGACTTTAACTTTGTCCAGATTGGGGGAATTTAATGTTTAATAATTTTTTATGTAAATAATTTTTTTTGCATTAAAAAGTATAGATTTTTGTTTGTATATGCTGTCAATTATATTTTTAGAAAGAAAATCTGAATCTGCAAAAATCGGTATCGGCAGGTCACACTTACAAAAAAATTGGAAATCAGAATCAGCCCAGAAAATTGCAATCGTTGCATCTCTAATGTGTGTGGAGTGTGTTTCTCACCGGTGGATGATGTGCGAGCGCTGCAGATAATCGAGCGCTAACACAAGCTCACAGACGTACAGCTTGACCGTTTGCTCGTTAAAGCCAACCTTCTTCTGCAGATGGAAGCCTAAATCACCACCCAACAGCAGATCCACCACTGTGAACAGATCCTCCTCGTCCTGAAACCTGCAGACAGGAGCGAGTCTGCCTCAACCCTGCTGCTGCTTGATTACTTATTTCTATAGCGCTTTATACAGTAGAGATTGTTTCAAATCAGCTTGATGCACACTTCAGAGTCAGCTATCACTAGTGCTGTAAGTTGAGTCAGTTGTGACTTTATCACTCAGATTACCGTTTTCACTGGAAATGATAATAATAGTTTCATAGTTTTTAAATAGCAAAAAGCATAAATGTGATGATATTTTACATAAAAATGACATACAATGCAATGTTTTTGATCACATATGCACCATATAAGGTAACAGTTAACTAGTTGGTACTAGGTGTAGCGTTTCTACAGTAACAATGACAAAGCTTTTCAGAGCGTTGTGTGAAATATGACCGTCTCAGCATGAAGCAGGTGAAGGCGATGGAGAGGACAGGTGTGTGGCTCACCACAGGTTGACGAGGAACGGATGCTGGAGATGTTGCATGACCTGCAGCTCTCTCAGGACATTTCTGACTTCATCTCTTTCAATGCATTTCTGCTTGTTCATGTATTTCATGGCGTACATCTTCCTGGAGTCTCTCTTCTGCACGATACACACCTGCAGACCATCGTTAGTTTGATTAATCATAGCACCCAGAGACGGGCTTCTGTCAGTCATACATCACTAAACTCACACACACATGATGCATTTAACATGCGTGACACACGAACACTGGAGGCTTCTGTTTGTTGGCAAAAATGAATTCAAACATGCAGAAATGAGAGATACTGACATGAGCTTAATTTTCTTCCACTAAAAATATCTCAAAATAATACACCAGCCTGCAGCTTTCCAGACACAGAAAGAGAAGAGAGCGCTAATGCATTACAGCCTCCAGCAGAAAGAGACGAGAGATAGAGCTCAGTTCACTCATTCATCACTCACATCACGTGCTGAATACATGACTGATAACTGAGCCTGTGTAGAGTTATAACTCCCAGCTAACAGTTCTCCTCAGAGCTCTGCTTAACGCTCTGGCGAGCTTCTCTCCCAGTTACGAGGTCACGCGTTTGTTTAAAGTGACCTGGTCTTTAATAATGCTATCGTTATTATCGGATGTTACGTTTTACTGTGTTACTTGTTTCAGAACGTTCAGAAGAGAACATTCAAAAGTAACGTTCCCATAATGGTTGCAAAGTGATACAATGAAACAAGAAAACGTTTTTGAAATATTTATAAGAACTGTAACTCAATAGGAACATCCTTAGGTCATATTTTTGTTAACTGAGTAATAGCCGAATGTATGAGACACATAATATTACAATCACACTTGTTATACACATTCATACACACTCCACTGATCGCGAGCGTCTGCGTGACGTCACCGGGGGGTTATGGGCAGAGCTCGAGCTCAGCGTCGCACACAGCAGCTGTTCTGGGCAGAGACCGCAGACAGACATGAGTGCACAGAGACTCGCTGCTTTCTGCTTTCTTCTGGCTCTGGTCTGCTTCACGAGCTGCGCTCCGCCGACCTGTTACTCGCGCGCTCTGCAGCTCAGCAAAGAAATCATGAGCAATCTGGACAACATACATCGATATAGTCGCACGGTAAGAGGTTTATGCTGGTGCCTGTCCCTGTTACATCTTTATTAGAGTGTTTGCTCATCTGCAATACATCTACTGTATGTTTCCTATCAGACGTCTATTAGATGTCTTTAAGATGTTATGATTTAGAAAGTGTGTAAAACTGACATCTGAAAGACCTCTAGCAGATGCTTTCCAGATCAAGCGATCTTTAACAGACCTCTAGCAGACGTGCGTGTGCTGTCTGGGCTGTGATTATGTTATGGTCCTCTATAAACTTGAAACTTTAATTCTTGCAGAAAACATGCGCTGAGTTCCTGCCGAAGATGTTTGTAGACGTGCACGTGAGTGAGCATTTCTGTCAGCTGAGAATCCAGCACTACCCTGCAGGGCTTCTCTTCTGCTGAGGACAGGCAGTGTGGGGCAGTTACTGACTACATGTGATCTGGTTTACAGAATCAGATTCCAAAAATGATGTACTTGTAATTAGAGTATATTACATTTTAAAATGCTCATAATTAGATTACAGTTACATGATTACACATTAGTCACACAGTGGCTGTAAATTATTCATAATTATTCACTTTTTATCAACTCACAGACCCAGTTTAGTGTAATGTTTAATACATTTTATGATGTTGATATCAAAAAATTGAATTTATTTTCTTTCTCTTTACTATTTTTTATGTCAATGTGTTACGTTTGATGGTAAGTTTAAAACAAGTTAAATAAAAAAAAGTAATCAGAATACATTACTTAAAATAAGTAGCCTAGATGACATTACTAACTACAATTTTCATCATGTGATCTGTAAGTAATCTATCCAGCACTGAGTATACAAGCTTTATGAAGTTCATTCAAAAGTTTATTGTGTGAGTGTGTGTGTCTGTGTGTGTCTGTGTGTGTGTGTGTGTGTGTGTGTGTGTGAGAGTGTGAGTGTGTGTGTGTGTGTGTGTGTGTGTGTGAGAGTGTGAGTGTGTGTGTGTGTGTGTGTGTGTGTGTGAGAGTGTGAGTGTGTGTGTGTGTGTGTGTGTGTGTGTGAGAGTGTGAGTGTGTGTGTGTGTGTGTGTGTGTGTGTGAGAGTGTGAGTGTGTGTGTGTGTGTGTGTGTGTGTGTGAGAGTGTGAGTGTGTGTGTGTGTGTGTGTGTGTGTGTGAGAGTGTGAGTGTGTGTGTGTGTGTGTGTGTGTGTGTGAGAGTGTGAGTGTGTGTGTGTGTGTGTGTGTGTGTGTGAGAGTGTGAGTGTGTGTGTGTGTGTGTGTGTGTGTGTGAGAGTGTGAGTGTGTGTGTGTGTGTGTGTGTGTGTGTGAGAGTGTGAGTGTGTGTGTGTGTGTGTGTGTGTGTGTGAGAGTGTGAGTGTGTGTGTGTGTGTGTGTGTGTGTGTGAGAGTGTGAGTGTGTGTGTGTGTGTGTGTGTGTGTGTGAGAGTGTGAGTGTGTGTGTGTGTGTGTGTGTGTGTGTGAGAGTGTGAGTGTGTGTGTGTGTGTGTGTGTGTGTGTGAGAGTGTGAGTGTGTGTGTGTGTGTGTGTGTGTGTGTGAGAGTGTGAGTGTGTGTGTGTGTGTGTGTGTGTGTGTGAGAGTGTGAGTGTGTGTGTGTGTGTGTGTGTGTGTGTGAGAGTGTGAGTGTGTGTGTGTGTGTGTGTGTGTGTGTGAGAGTGTGAGTGTGTGTGTGTGTGTGTGTGTGTGTGTGAGAGTGTGAGTGTGTGTGTGTGTGTGTGTGTGTGTGTGAGAGTGTGAGTGTGTGTGTGTGTGTGTGTGTGTGTGTGAGAGTGTGAGTGTGTGTGTGTGTGTGTGTGTGTGTGTGAGAGTGTGAGTGTGTGTGTGTGTGTGTGTGTGTGTGTGAGAGTGTGAGTGTGTGTGTGTGTGTGTGTGTGTGTGTGAGAGTGTGAGTGTGTGTGTGTGTGTGTGTGTGTG